ATATACCCAAGAGGGACCGCATGATTAGATACGTCCTCAGGGGAATGGATGCTGTATCTAACAAAGTTGTAAACTATGATAAACTGAGAGAAATCACCCAACTACCCGATGAGAACCCCGCCCTCTTTCTCGCCCGCTTGCAAGAAGCCCTAGTCCGGTATATTCGGCTAGATCCAGCCTCCCAAAATGGGGCCACTGTATTAGCCTCCCATTTTATCTCCCAATCAGCACCCGACATAAGAAAGAAACTAAAGAAAGCAGAAGAGGAGCCAGAGACTCCCATCCAAGACCTGGTAAAAATGGCCTTTAAAGTATTCAATGCCAGGGAAGATGCGGCTGAGGCTGCCTGCCAAACTCACATGAAGCAGAAGGCTGCCCTCCAGACCCAAGCCCTAGTGGTGGCTCTAAGGCCGGCAGGGAACCAGAAGCCCAAGGCTGAAACCCATGCCCCTCCAGGGGCATGTTTCAAATGTGGAAAGGAAGGACACTGGTCCCGAGCCTGTCCACAACCACGGCCACCAACTAAGCCTTGCCCTATCTGTCAGCTCCCGGGACACTGGAAGTCAGACTGCCCCAGCTTCCCCAGGGTGCCGGTTCCTCAAAACAGACACACTGGCGTTACGCAGCCGGCGGTCACCCTCGGTAGGGAGGAGCCTGCTTGCCAGGAACTGACCTCCGAGGGAGCTCCATTCCCCAGTCTACTAGGGCTGCTAGACGACTAGCGGGCCCTGGTTTTCCGACTCTGGTTACCCTCGCCGAGCCAAGGGTCACAATTCAGGTAGCGGGTAAAAGTGTCTCGTTCTTGCTGGACACAGGGCTACCTACTCCGCACTTCCTTCCTATTCTGGCCGTCTCACCCCTTCCCAGGTCTCGGTCATGGGAATCGATGAGACCCCGAGTATCCCCTACCAAACCCCACCGCTCATGTGCTCATATAACTCCACTCCATTTACCCACTCTTTTTAGTAATCCCCACCTGCCCAGTACCCCTCCTAGGACGAGACATCCTTTCAAAGCTGAAGGCCGTCATAACCTTCCCCACCGCCAGCCCACACAGCCTCTTTCTCCTAGCCCTCAATACTCTGCCTCAGAACTCCAGACCCTCCAGTCTACCCCCGGGGTACAGTTCAAGGATGACTGGGCATTCAAGCATAACCTCCTCATCCTCCCCGTAAAGCAAAGGTACCAGATAATCCAAGACATCCACAATTCACTCCACATTGGACCTAAAGCCTTATACCGGTTCCTCAACCCACTTTTTCACCCCCACCACCTCCTCAGTACCATACAGGAAGTACAGTCCTCATGTACTGTCTGCGCAAAAACTAATTCCCAGGGTTCCTGTCATCCCCGGCACCAGCTTCATCAGCTACGCGGGTTCCTACCTGGCCAAGACTGGCAAATTGATTTTACCCATATGCCAAAGCACAAACAGTACCGGTATCTGCTAACCATTGTTGACACTTTTTCAGGCTGGATTGAAGCTTACCCCACAGCCTCTGAGTCTGCCGGGACAGTGGCCACTCATCTCATTCAAGACATCATCCCACGCTTTGGACTCACGGCCACCATACAGTCAGACAACTGCCCAGCCTTTATCTCCAAAGTCACTAATGCTGTTTCTACCTCTCTAGGAATTCAGTGGAAGCTACATGCCGCCTACCATCCTCAGTCCTCTGGTAAGGTGGAACGGGCCAATGGCCTAATAAAGGAGCATCTGACCAAGCTCATGCTTGAGCTCCGCCAATCCTGGGTAACCTTGCTTCCTATAGCCCTCACCAGGTTGAGAGCAAGCCCCCGGGGCCCATCACAGCTTAGCCCGTTTGAGCTGCTGTACGGTCGCCCCTTCCTACTTTCAACTCCCCCACTGCCCAAGACCACTCCTCTAGACAGCTACCTCCCCTACTTTACTCTCCTTCGCAGCCTTCTCCGAGAACACGCCAACGCTTGTCTTCCCCAACCCACCCAGCCATCTGAAAATACACAGAAAGTCTCCCCCGGGGACTCAGTTCTTATCAGGTCCCTCTCCCCAAAGTCCCTCGCCCCCAAGTGGGAAGGACCATACACAGTCCTCCTTACCACTCCATCAGCTATAAGAATTGCTGAAGTCCCATCTTGGGTTCACCTGTCTCGGGTAAAAAAGGCCCCTCATGGACCCTCCCTATGCTGGAAGGCTGTTCCTACTGGCCCTTTATCTGTCCAACTTACCAGGGCCTAGCAGCCACACCCCCTACAGATGGAGATTCTTCCTAACTGAAAACTATACCAAAACCACCTTCATCTGTAATACCCCCCCATACAGCCACAACCATCTTCTTGCAACTTCCGACTGCCCCGCAGCCGGATGCCAAAATGCCATATATCTGAACTTCACCAAATTCCGCAACATCCATACTACTATACCTGTCATGTGCTTCAACCATGACCAACCATCAGGAGCATGCAATGATACTCCTTGGCGCTCCTGCATGGGATGTACTTGGATGAACTGTCGACTACATATAGCTGTCGAGTCCACAGTACCTGCCCGATCTCAGCTCAAAATCATCCCAGATGTAGATGGAGAAGGAAACACCATTATCGGTTCTACACGGTATTCCCTTCTCATACCTGACCCCTGGGACAACCGCTGGAAAAGCCCCCAGAAGGCTGCCGTGTATGACCACGTAGATACCAAATATCCCTCTTCCCACCTGTACATCTGGCGGGCATACGTACGTACAGTCCACCAAGTCCACTCTGATATTAGCCTACAAGAAAAATCTCTGAATGACCAATTGCAACCACATTCGCCTCCGTTTTCCTGGTTAACCTTTCTCCAAGAAGGAATCAAGTTAGCTAACCTCTCAGGATTAACTGACCTAACCTCATGCCTCATGTGTGCCTTCTTAGGACAGACTCCCTTCGTTGCAGTCCCCTACCCCATCCCTCTCAACCTTTCAGCCTCAACTTCTTCCTTCTCCCCCATCAGGGAAGTCGATCTCTACACCCCACCTGATTTTGAACAGCTACCTGTGTGCTATTCCCTAGGCCGAAACTTCCCTAGCTGTAACAGAACTATACTGGTAACCACTAATGTAACAGCCCCACGAGGAATGTTTTTTTGGTGTAACAGGACCTTAACAAAAACTCTCTACATTGGTCTTTCCTCATCTCTTTTATGCCTCCCAGTAACCCTAGTCCCTCGACTCAGTATATATTCCCCAGCCGAATTCCAGATGCTGCAAACTCCCCATCGCCGCACCCGACGAGCTGCCTTCCTACCCATTGCCGTTGGAGTCTCCCTTGCTGGTTCAGCACTTGCAGCAGGATTAGGAGGAGGGGCACTAGTCCACTCTCACCTGGCCATAGCCCGACTGACCTCACAATTCCAAGCGGCTATTGATGACTCTACTGACTCTTTAGCATCATTCCAACGACAGATCACCTCAGTTGCCCAAGTTGCCTTGCAGAACCGAAGAGCCCTGGACCTGCTCACTGCTGAATGAGGAGGGACCTGTATCTTCCTACAGGAAGAGTGCTGTTACTACATCAATGAATCCGGCCTAGTAGAAACCCGAATTGAGAGCCTCCAGAAACTCAAAACTAACCTGCAGAATCAGAAGTTCTCGGCTGAAGCCACAGTGTGGTGGTCTTCCTCTATGTATACCCTCTTGTCCCCATTGCTTGGGCCCCTAGTAGCCGTTTGCCTAATCTTACTTATTGCTCCTTGCCTTCTACAGTTCCTACAGCGGCGCTTTCAAGAACTGACTCGAGTCACCATCCACCAGATGCTGCTCCAACCTTACCCTGAACGAGTGCTAGAAGCGGACCTCTCCCCGAACACCCAGGCTCCTTAAGAAAAGAGACCTCTTCAGAACCCCCCGTCGACCCTTGTCAGCAGGAAGTAGCCAGAGAGACAACCGACGCCCCTGACCCCCTCTTTTTCTTTTCTTTAAAGAGTCGGGAATGTTTGGAAAACTCTGCCCCTACGTGAAAGCTCTCTCTTTCTCTCCCCCACAAAGAGGCTCCCTTATCTCTCACTCTACATACCGCCCTAGCCCTCCCGCCCGGCCACAGCCACCTCCCACCACTTCTGCCTCATCAGCTCTCCCCAGCTCCCCGCCGCCCGGCTTCTGCCTCATCAGCTCTCCCCAGCTCCCCGCCGCCCGGCTTCTGCCTCATCAGCACTCCCCAGCTCCCCGCCGCCCGGTTTCTGCCTCATCAGCTCTCCCCAGCTCCCCGCCGCCCGGCTTCCTGCCCAGCAGTTCAAATTGACCAAACGTTGCCCACCACCTCGGCTTTCTCAGCTTCCCCACTCCCTCAGCCCTTCAGTCTCCTATAAAACAACCCTGCCCCTCTGAGCGGGGCGGCCATTTTTCCTTTTCGTCCCAGCTGGCCCGCCCGGAGGCTCTTTTCTCTCAATAAAGCCTGAACTTAAAGATTTTCTTCTAGCCTGCGGTCCGGTTTCTTTCCGAACGAGCTCAGTCTTCCCGCAGAGGGTAGGTCGATCAATTTATATGCCATCTAATAACTTTCTATTTGTTGTAATATTAGAATAATACATTGCCCGATTGTGGTTTAACAAACATTCTTTTTCTGTAAACACGCCATTTGCTTAGTTCCACTTTCCCTCCCCCTGTCCTTTATTTCATTTTAGGTCCAAACTTGACCCTCATGGTCTTCCACTGTTTTTAATTCTTCCGTAAGGAGGGTGTACCTGGCCTTAGGAAGCACTTATCCTGCCTTGCAGAAGTTTCCCACTTTTGTTTCACACCCAGGGTGGAGCTTTCTTTCTTTTTCTCATAACAGAAAATAAGGAGGGACAGCCGCCTGAGTACAGTTAAAAATTAAGGCATCTCTGGGGAGGTGAGGTCCTCGGAGAGCCAGGCAGTGACAATTGAGTGCTGTGGAGCACGTGGATTAAGTAGAACAGAAACAGATCCTGCCAGGACTGCCCCAGGGAAGCCAGATACAAAGCAGAAACTCTGATTGTGCCCAGAGGGCCCTGGATCCCTTACCCACGCTGAAGGTTCTCCCGCCTTTTCTAATTACCTTCCCATTTCTTTTGCTCCCCTTCTCAGCCGGAGTGTTCAGGGCTCTGCATACCACAGAGGTCAGACACAAATAAAATCCATACATGGACTCCATTCTCGGGTCACAGAATGTGGTGAACAACTCAGACTGAAGATGGCTCCCACTCCCACCTCCCAACCCCACCACGAAAGCATTGCTTGTAAACACTAGTCACTTAGAAACACCCACCCATCAGTCCCATCCTTAAGATAGGAGCTGGGATGTGGCCCAGCAGGGTGGCTCATGCCTGTAATTCCAGCACTTTGAGAGGCTGAGGCAGGTGGATCACGAGGTTGGTCAAGAGTTTAAGACCAGCCTGGCTGAGGTGGTGAAACCCAGTCTCTACTAAAAGTATAAAAAAGTAGCTGAGCGTGGTGGCTGGCACCTGTAATCCCAGCTACTCAGGAGACTGAGGCAGAGAGTTGCTTGAACCCAGGAGGCGAAGGTTGCAGTGAGCCAAGATCATGGCACTGCTCTCCAGCCTGGGTTACAGAGTGTGATTCCATCTGAAAAAAAACAACAGCAACAAAAAAATAGGAACTTGGCTTTTACCTGCTCCAAGACCAGGCTGCTAGTTTTTCAGTTTTACCCTGACCAGGCCACTTGGACAGCTGCTTTTTTCAGCTGATACCTTTGAGCCTGATCAGTCAAGATATAGGCCTGGCATTGGGCTAGGGCCAGTCTAGAAGTAGATTAGTATTTTCCTTTTCCAGCTTATATTTCTCTTGTAGCAACCATCCTCGGTCTTGACACATTAACTTACAAGCAGTAAACAAACGCCATCCACTCCGGGAGATCCCTCAGCATCTCCTTTGCTGACTGCAATCCCCTGCAGCACTTTGCGCAGAATCAAAGCTTTAAATTTGCACTAATTAAGATTCTCAATTCTCACAAAGCCAGTCTCCCTGGACAATTCAATAGCCAAGAGCCAAGGGAAGAACCAGGGGAGTTCCCATCCTGGGATATGGAAAGTCCTGGAGTTTTCAGCCCTGTCCTTGTGGCCAAAAAGTGGCATACTTTTGTTTTTGAATTGTGTTTGTGACGCCAAAAGTATTCTGTACAAGAGATGAGCAAGGTGAAAACACACACACACAGTACCTTTACAGGTAACCAAACTTCATCCCACGTAACTGGCAATGCACATGTAATAAATGATATAATGACTAAATGATACAATAAGCAACTCAATATAATAAGCAGATTGATATAATATGCAGATATATTCAAATTGCAATAAGAGAAGGGAAAAATACACACACACACACACACACACACATACACACGCACTCATCAGACTGAAGAATTCACAACCAGAGTGGGAAGCGACAGCATGGACTCCAGAGTTGAGCACTCATCCCTGCACAGACTAGGAGAGGTCTCATGAAGCTTTGGGCAGCCTGGGACCCTAGCTCTTTTTTAAGGAGTTGTTTGGGATAAGGCCCAGTAACGACTGGGCACAGTGGCTCAGTCCTGTAATCCCAGCACTTTGGGAGGCTGAAGTGGGCAGATCACAAGGTCAGGATTTCGAGACCAGCCTTAGCAACATGGTAAAACCTCGTCTCTACTAAAATACAAAAAATTGACTGGGCATGGTGGTCCGCCCCTGTAATTCCAGCTACTCAGGAGGCTGAGAGAGAATTGCTTGAACCCAGAAGGTGGAGGTTTCAGTCAGCCAAGGTCAAGCCACTACACTCTAGCCTGTGAAACAAAGCAAGACTGTGCAGGAAAAAAAAAAAAAAAAAAGGCCCAATCATGAGGACCCTTCACAACTGGCCTTAAAAAACACAAAACGGTCAGCTTATTTTAGAAATTGTCTATTGTTTTTCAACAACAAATGTATGGAGATAGATTGAAATAGAAATTTTCCAAACACCTGAAGGGGCTCACACAAACTGTTCTGGGACTTGACTGTTGTTTGTGTCCAGTTCAATTGAGTTCAAATTGAATATCGAACATTTCCTCCACAAATTACCCTGTACTGATAACTCAACTCTGTGTTGATAAATTACGCATGTATGTAATCCCAGCTACTCAGGTAAAGGGCAAGGTGAACCCCTTGGTCCATCAGACAACCTCTGCCTCCTTGGGTTCAAGCGATTCTCCTGTCTCAGCCTCTGGAGTAGCTGGGACTACAGGTATGCACCAACCCACTTGGCTAATTTTTTGTATTTTTATTACAGATGGGGTTTCACCATATTGGCCAGGCTGGTCTTGAATTCCTGACCTCAAGTGATCTGCTCACCTTGACCTTCCAAAGTGCTGGGATTACAGGTGTGAGCTACAGCACCTGGTCTTAATGATTTCTTTCTATCTCCTGTAACAGTTTGAAATTACTTAAATATTGTTTCAAACTGAAAAAATTCAAAGAATGTAGATAAAAATATAAAAAGTTAAAAAAATTACAGGACAGTACAATGTATATGTAAATTTTGAGAGGTCACAAATTACAAATTTGACTTATTTACAAGGTTTTATTAAAATTAGCTTTAGGCCAGGTGCAGTGGCTCACGCCTGTAATCCCAGCACTTTGGGAGGCTGAGGTGGGTAGATCACCTGAGGTCAGGAGTTTGAGACAAACCTGGCCAACATAATGAAACCCTGACTCTACTAAAAAATACAAAAACCTAGCTGGGCATGGTGAGAAAGCAGAAGAATCGCTTGAACCCAGGAGGCAGAGGTTGCAGTGCACCACTGCACTCCAGCCTGGGCAACAGAGCAAGACTCCATCTCAAAGAGAAAAAAAAAAGCAACACAAGATGTAGAAGACATATTTGAAAATCCATGTTTATTTTATGTGTATTCACAAAGGTCAAAAGGCTGAAGCAACCCAAATGTCTCCTGATTTATAAAGATATCAAAAAATGTCACATATATATACAATGGAATATTATTCCACCTTAAAAAGGAAAATCTTGTCACATTTTAAGATGAACCTTTAGAATATTATGTCACCTGAATTAATTGGGTAACAAAATGATGAATACTGTATGATTCCACCTATATAACATATCTTTTTTTTTTTTTTAAGACAGAGTTTTGCTCTTGTTACCCAGACTGGAGTGCAATGGCACGATCTCGGCTCACCGCAACCTCCGCCTTCTGAGTTCAAGCAATTCTCCTGCCTCAGCCTCCAGAGTAGCTGGGACTACAGGCACGTGCCACCATGCCCAGCTAATTTTTATATTTTTAGTAAAGATGGGGTTTTACCTTGTTGACCAGAATGGTCTCAATCTCTTGACCTCGTGATCCACCCACCTTGGCCTCCCAAAGTGCTGGGATTATAGGCGTGAGCCACCACGCCGGGCCGATGACATATCTTAAGTAGTCAAAATTATAAAAACTGAAAGTAGACATTTGTCTGTTAAGGCCTGGGGTAAAATGAGCAGTTGTTACTTAATGGATATTGAGCTTTAGTTTTACAAGATGTAAAGTTTCTAGAAGTCTTTTGTGTAACAATTTGAATATATTTAATACGCCTGAAATGAACAGTGTTTTTTATTTTTGAAACAGGGTCTCACCCTCTTGTCTAAGCTGGAGTGCGGTGGCACAATTTTGACTCCCCTTTAATCTCCCAAGTAGCTGGGACCACAGCCGCACACCACCATGCCTAGCAATTATTACATTTCTTTATAGAGAGGGGTCTCCATATGTTGCCCAGGGTGGCCTCAAACCTTTGGGCTCCCAGAATCCTCATGTCTTGGCCCTGCAAAATCCTGAGATAACAGATGAAAGCCACAGCCACACCTCTTCTGAAGTGTACACTTCAATACTTCAATAGATTTAAAATGATACATTTTATGTTATGTGTTTATACACAATGTTTTTTTAAAAAAACTTAAAAAGCCAGCACGGTGGCTCAAGCCTGTAATCCCAGCACTCTGGGCGGCCGAGGCGGGTGGATCACGAGATCAAGAGATCGAGACCATCCTGGTCAACATGGTGAAACTCCGTCTCTACTAAAAATACAAAAAATTAGCTGGGCGTGGTGGCGCATGCCTGTCATCCCAGCTACTCAGGAGGCTGAGGCAAGAGAATTGCCTGAACCCAGGAGGCGGAGGTTGCAGTGAGCCGAGATCGTGCCATTGCACTCCAGTCTGGGTAACGAGTGAAACTCTGTCTCAAAAAGAAAAAAAAAAATCCAGAATTATAAATCCTTTTGAAAATTACTTTTTTTCCTTCTTGGAGATGTAATTTTGGTCTTACTGCCCAGGCTGGAGTGCAATGACACAGCTGATCACAACCTCTGCCTCCCAGAATCAAGCGATTCTCCTGCCTTAGCCTCCTGAGTACTAGGATTACAGCCATGCACCACCACACCAGCTAATTTTTGTATTTTTAGTATAGATGGGGTTTCTCCATGGTCAGGCTGGTCTCTAACTCGTAACTTCAGATGATCTGCCAGCCTCAGTCTCCCAAACTGCTGGGATTACAGGTGTGAGCCACCCTGCTTGTTCTGAAAATTACACAAAAGCATCTCTCTCACTGAATTTTACACACACACACACACACACACACACACACATATATTTTCATAGTTACACACATGGTGAATATAAGACTATCTCCATGACCACTCACTTAGATAAAATAAAACTACCATTCATCAAAAATCAGCTAAGAAAGAATATAAGTTAAGCTATATACAAAATTGGGGTTATATTTATAGATAAACAAACATACTTATGTCATCTGAGTGTGACAGACATGAATAATTTATCTCTTAATTAAACCTCAAATTGACTTAAAGTGTACAAACAATTGCAAATTATCTAAAAACAGAATTCTTAAGTAAAACCAATAGACACAATAAACTGAGGCTAGGAAACCAACACTGAGGACAGGTGTGGTGGCTCATGCCTGTAATCCCAACACTTTGGGAGGCTGAAGTGAGCAAATTATTTGAGGTCAGGAGCTCAAGACCAGCCCGGCCAATGTGGTAAAACCCAATCTCAACTAAAAATACAAAAACTAACTGGGCGTTGTGGCACATGCCTGTAATCCCAGCTACTTGGGAGGTTAAGGCATGAGATTGCTTGAACCCAGGAGGTGGAAGTTGCAGTGAGCCAGGATCACAC